ATCAGTATTTCTACTAAAAGGCAGATAATTAATTGAAAACATGAGAAATTTAGTTCTCATTCTTCTAAGGGTTTTGTGCTGGGTACAGGATGCACATACAATACTTAAAAACCAAACAAAATTCCCAAAGCACACCATAGATGGGCTTGACATAAAATAACCTGCTCATGTCCAGAGTCCCTACTGACCACCCATCAAAAAAAATAAATAGAAAAATCCGCCACCAAAACCCCAAACAAAAGACCCCCTCACAAAACCAAGCCCACAGAAAATCTTCCACCCGACCACCCATCCACCGTTCCCTCAATGTTATCACTCTAATAAATATGGAAAACTAAGGTTTCTCTTTTTCCCCTGAAGTAGTCTGTCAGCAAACAATAGAAACAAACTGAATTTTACATTCAAAGGGCTTTTTCAGTATTGTAGCCCTAACTCCCCACCAAAAGCACACTACGATACTTCAACGCCACCAAGCAGAATGAGCACCAGATGGAAGACTGGCTTCCCATAGGTGCCATTCCCAATGTAACCCAACTATTAAATTAAATAATACCAAAGCTGTAATTTTTCTTTTTTCCTCAGCTTCTCTTTTATGCATGTCAGTGGTCCCACACAACAAAGCTAGCTCCCCTTTTGTGCTCTACCTAGCTCTGCGTTCAGCTTCTGGCTGGACAAGAGGCATCGGGGCTGCCCGATGCACAGCAACTCCCGTGTGGATGGGACAGTTCCCTTCATGGGAATTTTTCTCGTCCCAACAGACCAGACCCATGACCAGTCATTTGGTGCCTCTGTTGCAGATCAAGCCAACCAGATCGCCTGGTCCTCAGCTTGCAGAGCTCAAATGGCTCTGGGGCAACACGTCGCGCAGGAATGTTCTAGGAACTTCTCTTTGAAATCTCTTTCATTCTGATGTATTTGCTAGAAATTGGTTAAGACTCAAAAGTACTTAAGAGAAGACGGTTACATACATGTATGAAAAAAGGAGGCTAAAATTGAAAAAATATATTCAATAAGTAGGAAAATGACTAGGATAGCAAGTGATATGCCAGAAATAATGTGGCATGCATTCAGAAGCTTGAACATTTTTTCCAACTACATTTACCAAACCAATAAAAAGATACATTATATTCCTAGAGATCTTGCTTTATTCTCCTTTCAGATTATCACGGTGCCACTGCAGCTAACACTATCGAACACAGTATTCCTAGTGTCGTCTGTAGGAAATGGCAAATAGGAAGGGGGCAGCAGGACACATAGTAAAGTGTGAAAAGGGCTGTGAGGTAAACCTTAATGATGTGTTGCTGCTATAGTAATCAATAATAAAATCTCCCCCCCCCCAAGTCATTGTCTATTGATTTTGGAATTAATTGTACTTTTCTGGTGAATGGGGCAAATTCAGCTTTCATGTATCGCTTCTGAAGGTAATACTGCCCTAACTGTCAGGTTACACAAGGACTGCTATCTTTTCAACCAGAAAGACCACTTTTTTTTCCCCTTAAGGTAAGCCTGAAGGCCAAGTAATTTTCAACAGCACTGGTGTTCTTGCCAGAGTTTATGGCAATGGGATAACGGAGCAGTCAAGGGTTCTCACAGTAATTTGCAAGTCTTAACTGCAGCAATATTAAAAATGTGCAAAAGCAGTAATTGATTTTGAAAAAACACTGAGAGTTGATTTTATGCTTGTTAAACAGCACTCTAGTAATTATCTTGATCATCAACATCTTAAAATAGTAAAAATTAATTTTGTGCTTAAATTGCTTACATAAAATATAGATGATTAATGTCAATGGTCTAAAATTGTGAAAAACATGGAATATATGACCTTCAGACTCCCATGTTCCCCCTTTGCCTGAAGATTCTTACTGACTGACTCATCTGTTGGCAATGGTTTATTCTTAGCAATTACAGACTTAACATGACTGTTTAAATACCATCAAAAATATTATGATATTTCAAAGTACATTAATGCAACGTTGGTACAATCTGTGAAATCCAGAACAGTCACAAGCAAATACGAGATTAAAAGTTACTTCTACTTTCCACACCAGTGTCAAACAGGAAGCTTAAACTGGGCTATGAGTTCCATTTTACAGAGCCCTGGGGGAAGGGCCTGTGCTCAAGGCCAGTCACTAGCTGGCTGGATCCTAAACCCCATAACCATCCTCTAAAATCCTGGATCCTTTTAAAAAGGTCCACAAAACCAAAAAAGGCACAACAAGACAACTGTGTCTTTTCATTACTTCGGGCTACTTATCTTTCTTTTGTGAAGAGACAAGATACTCAGACTCGGAGAACGAGACAGACATTATGTGAAAACATCCTTTTGCACTCTTTCATCATCTCTCTTCCTCATTTTATTCTCCCCATACTTGTGCATAACCACTGCACTAGCACTTCGTTTTGTTCTCTTCACTAAAGTATTTTCTGACTTGCCTCTCATATTCTTGTCACTCACAGAATTTTGGCTTAAGGGTTTGGGGTTTTTTTTGAAACCTCAACTCAGGGATCAGTCAGATTGGCTTTTAAAGAAGCTACTGCCCTGCTTGTTCTACTTGGTCTACTCCTCAATTGATATATTCTACTGTATAAGCTGGCACGTTTCAATCAGTAATATTTTGTTTTCAAACAAAGTAGATCAGTCTCGGGACTCTACATTAAATTCACAGCTGAGCTGAACTGAAAACAGCTGAAACTGTCCGAGACCCAGTGGATTGCCCCACTGGGTCTTTTCTTTCTTGCTCCTCACTGTTACTCTGTGCTAAGGATTGCAACCTCTACAGCAAAGGAAGTAAACCAGAAACTCTACCTTAAGTGTTTCAGTTGATAATTCCAGGGTAGAGTTTCGTGTTATGTTTTGCACCAGAAGGGGATAAGACAGCTCTACCCCCTCCTTCCCGTTCACGCACTCCTGCCATCTACCTTGCATTGGATCTAGCAACTGGGCAATCTCAAGTTGAGCTGGTTCAGACTTCTGATCCACCTCAGTCTGCAAATGGAAAATACCCACTCAATTCAATGCAGCACAGGGTGCCAAACAATGCAATCAGGATTGCAAGGTCAACCTTTTAGCAACAACCTGCAGTTATACTGATTTAAGGACCATGTGAAACTATCCTTAATGCAACATCATCCCCCACCATCATGTTTATTTCATCATCCTTTTGAAGATCTTCACTCTGCTCCAGGGTAAGCTGTTTCTGTTGCTGCCATTTGTTTTCTTAAGTTACTTAATCACATTGCACATAAAAGCAAGGGAATCATGATAATTTTGCATTACAAAAGATTCATTTCTTTCTGTTTTTAAAATACTTCTTTGGTGTTTTTCCCATTCGTAGTTGGTGTATTGAAAACTAGAAGTTTTGTATACTCACAATCCTTGTGGTAAGTGACATTTTTATTTTGCAAAGTTGTGAAGATCAAACCCAGTAAATTATTTAGACTGAATTCTCATAATATCTATTTAAATACTTGATTCAGTGATAGAATTACATATTTCATGGCACTGCAGGAAAAACTTATTTATTTCTTTATCAATTTCTTCTATTAAAAATTAAAATGCGGAAGTTCCTTCCACTACTTGATTACGAGTTTACTACCTCCTTGTAAACTTACTCTTGTTTCATCCCTGACCTCTTTAAAAATAAAACCAAAATGTACTACTTTAGCACTTCTTTTATTCCCTATGTATCACAACAGCCGATACTAAATCCATGCCAAAGTATAAGGAAATAGGACCACCTAAACTCGCACATAATCCCTTTCCCGCCACAGTGATCTACCTCTACCTTCCCTTGCTCTCTTTTGCCATTCATTGCGCTGCATCTTTCCTACTCCTATGCAATGTCATCCTCTCTAATCACAATGTCCGACTCCACCTGTCTCTGTAGGTGAAATCTTGGACTCTGGATGAAAAAAGGAAGCCTGGTGAGAGAAGTGCTTCCCATTATTACAAATACTGAAAGGAAAAACTGAGAGTAACGCTCTACTCTTTCATTGTTCTTGGACAATGTGATTCTGATAGCCTCACAAATACAACTTCCAGGAAAACAATCTACCAGGAGAAGGCAGCCCCCAGACTCTTGAAAACAAAACTTTTAATGTTTTCAGTAGTTTTAGGAGAGATTAATATGCAGAAATGTGTTTGTAAATTACACTTAATTACAAATTAAAAAATTCTCAGCCCTGCAGGTGTACTTCCCAGCACATGAAACTCTGTTAAAGAACACTTCCTTTTTCCAAGAAACACATACCTAAATTTAGAGGTCAGGAAGGAAAGAACCTGGGGATAGAGTAGGAAATGGTAGGAGGAAAAAAAATGGGCAAATATGTTGAATGGAGGGAGATAAAATGACAGATTACAATCGGAGACCAAAAAAGAATGCAAGCAGTAAACAAATTTAAAGGAGTACAAAAGAAATGAAGTACTGTATTAACACAAACCATTTCTAACTGATTAACCAGAAATTGTTGCCTTAGAAGCTGACTCTCAAACCAGGAAACAAAAGAATGATTAACTGCTAGAAAAGTAGAAACAATATAAGAAATCGATATGAGAACATTATTTTGCATAAAAGCTTTCTATTTTTAGTAATTTTTTTTAAGAACTTCCAGTTTACAATAGTGCAGCGGGGGCAGGGGGGAAGGGAACATCGAGAAATCCAAGATGCTAATTCTTCTCTTCTCTTTCCTCCAACTTTCTGTATGTCCTCAGCCTCCCCCCAAAATGTACTATTTTAACAAGAGTCCTACACCAAATTTTTGACCTTCTGGGAGTATCAGTGCTCACCTCTAATTTTGCTGAGCTTTTCTGACTATTTCTAGCACCTAACACACCTCAAATCCCACCCTTACTCTGTCTTTAGACTAAGATACTTCATACTGAAGCACTTCAAGTTCTAAAGCAGTATTTCACTGCTATACACTTACGCATTCCTCGCAGTTTTAAGATGCAACACAACTTGTAACAAATGTTAATTCAGTTTGAAAGGACTTAAACCTACCTTTAAACTAGACTCATAGTCTGTGTTCACTTTGAACATAAGCCCAAGTCGCAAATGAATTTCCTTGGCTCGACAAAAGCTGGGATCAACATAAAGCGCCTCCTGAAATGCTTTAATTGCCCTGAAAGAAAACCACAGATTAAAAAGATTATTTTTTTACTGAAGTATTACTTTATAATCAATGTTATTTATATGACTAGCAGAAAGTGGATCAGAAAGCACTGTTACAGAAGAACATATCAAAATAACGGTTTACATGCAATGTTTTTTTGGTGCATGGCTTTTGATTCTTCAAGGACTGGTTATTTTGTACTCCAGATATCCTGGTATATTTGAAAGTCTAATCTTTTCTATTAATTTAGAGAAACTAATTTGCTGCATGAAATACAGTAACATATCTGCCATTTCAGAAAGGATGACTCAGGAATTAGTAACAAAATTAGTGCAACTTTAGAACAATACAGTGATCATTCATATCACAACCAACTGCTAGGTTGCTTTTGATTCCAGGTAGTGCAGACCCCCGAGAGCAGCAGCAGAACAGAAGGCCTAGAAGGAGAGATCACCCACATCTCCTCCCACTTTACCAACCTGCTCCGTTTTCCACTTTGTCCTCCCTTTCTTAGCACCAGTGCTGTGCAGGGACTCAACTAGTACCTATTGCTCCACTACTTTCCAGTCACTCAACTACCTCCAGGAAAACACAGATATGAAAGCCTGCCACCTCCTCCCACTGTGATTTGCTTTTCATATTCCCATGATAGCTGAAGACAGCTCTGATTCTATTTCCTTACCTTTAAAGCCTCTCTACCCATGCCCCTATTCATGATGGCACTGTAACAAAAATGCTACGTAACAACTGTATCTTGGAGCAGAAAAAAGGTGATTCTAAACAGGACTGTTTTGCCTCTCAGGCCAACTGCATAAAATCGGGTCAGCTGAAATGCAACTAAAAGAGAATAGATTTAAATTCACAGAGGAATTGAGAAAGAAGCTAAAACTCATTGTGTTAGCTCGCCTGAAATCCAATGACAGGTTGAAACAAAATACCTTCACGTACATCACTGCTCGTACAATGACAGAAGTTAGAATCAGTCTCACTTAGGGTAGATTCCAGCACCTAGGCCAGGGAGGCCAGTCCTATTTGCTGTCCTAGGCAAACCCAGAGATCGACGCTGAGCAGGCAGATGACAGGCAAGCCTATGGGGAGAACTGTACCCACTGTGGAGCAGCACAGGGACACTGGACAGGAATTACCACAGTCCCTAAAAATCACACGTGTTTAGGCAAATTGATTTCATTCCTACTCTCCAAGTGTAGTATTGTTTATAAGGACAAAAGGTTAGCAGTTGCAATGGGAAATTCAGTAAATATTTTTCATAGACTTTTTTATTCACAAAACACATAACGATCATTTTTTAATCCATTAGCAAAAACACTTCTTCTGCTCTAAAATTCTTACAGGCTTTTTTCTCATTCTTGACAGCAAAGCAAACCAAAGGCACAGAACTTCCTCTAGACAATGCAACAAAATTATTTGTACCTAAAGCATTATCTGACTTGTTCAAATACAACTTTTTTTTTTTTTTAAGCAGATGGGCTTAAAAAATTACATTTTTATTGTGGAACTGAAGCTTCCTTTATTACAATTGTTCAGAAGGGGTTTCCTTACCTAGTACCCTACTTTTCTACTTACACAAGGAAAAGGAGCAAGTGAAGTGCAAAAGGGACAAATTTGCACCAGCTAAGCAGTCTCTCACATCTCATCTAAACTTCCCTGGAATAGCATGGGTGGTGATGAATCACACACCTCAGTATCTACACTGAAATCACAACAGACAAGGATCCATGTCTCATAGCAGTATGCTCACCACCATCTACAAGAACACCACTCAAACTGGAAGGCCAAAGACTGGACTGATCACTAAACGTCAGCACATATTTTAAGCTATGCTTTTGTTATGCCAAAGTATAGTTTTTATGACTGTATATTTGCATTTCTTGTCTTAACTCTAATGTGGTACTCAGTATGTTAGCCACTGGTATTTAAAATTCACTATTTACATCTTGTTCAGAGACAGTATCCCAAAAGGAAGAAAACCAGTGTCTATGGTCCCTATCAAAGAGAAGACAAAAACCAGGAATAAAGACATTGCGGTTCTATACCACACGTGAGATTGTGACCATGCTCGTATACACTTTGTGAACTTCACATTCTTCACATTTTAGCTAGCTTGCTTGGTCAGAAAACAGTATTTCCGTATTTCCCCTATGTCACGTCTCATTCGCAAGGATCATTGATTTCTAAAAAAGCTTAAGAGAAACTGTAAGAGACAAAAATATTTTTATAATCTCTTGCTTACTGAACAGGAAATATTATTCATTGCCACAGCTGAGCAACAGAGTTAAACAAAGCCACAAGTATAACAACTGACTTTTAAGGACAGTTTTGAAATTTCGTTTGAATGTATACTGTCATTCATTCCAAGTAACAAGAATGCTGCCTAGCCCAGTCTTTCAGAGAAGCACAGCACTAAAAAAACCAGTAAAATTATCATCAGTGGACAATGTGAAAAGACTGTGTCACGTTTAGCACAGAACCTGCTCATCACAGACATCCTCTATGAGGCATGAGTAATGTTTATCTCCGTACAGACAACATGGCAACACCATTCACCCTTGTCTAAGCTGCTTGTGGAGTCAGGTTCAACATTAGTAGTTATCACGAGTCTTTGAGATAACGTTATAACCCAACACAATTTTCCAATGAAGACAAACCCAAAATGTACAAGGAAGAAGAAAATTATTACAAGACGTCATTCCCCCAGACACAATCTACGCAGGAAGTAACAGCATGCTTTTCAACCCACTTTGATGGATGCTTGGAAAAATATATCCAATCAACCAAGTCAAAACAAAAATCTCTGTACCCTTTAAGACACTGTTAGAGTCACCACGCTAACAGCTAAATAATAATATTCTAGCTGTACGTTTCAGTTGTATTTGATCACTCCTAAACTGATGGGTTTGGGAGGAAAAGCATCTCTGCCTTAAAAGCATTATTTCCTTGAAAGGTTAAAAAATTCAAAGGAGTGTAGTCAGGGAGCACTGATTGCTCCCATCCATTGCATTGATTTGGCAATGGAATGGACATACTGGTAGAGAGTTTGGTGAAAGACTCTCCACTTAGAAATTTTCTTTCAGTTTCTAATGCATGATGGATTTACATTTAAGAATGAATCCATATGCACTCAAAATGCTAGGGAACTCCTGGGTCAGTGTCTTGCTTGCATCTTAAATTCTGTATCCTTGGATGCCATAATAAAAACTGAAAGAGAATTCTGAAAGGTAACATAAATTTAAACTTATAATGAAGCATAATTACATCAGTAAATTAAGGGGAAAATGTTGTAAGAATATACCAAACATTCCCCAAAGCAGCTTTTCTAACTAAAAATCAGGTATTTTATCTTTTCCATTCAAGATATTGGCCTGCATCTTACTTAACTCTAGAGTTAATTCTGTATTGATTATGCAATTTGTAGTTTTTCCAGGATGACAACCACCGATAATAACAAATACAAATTACTTCCACTACTTCTGTGAAAAAGGACATCAAAATTTCACAAATAAAGTGATTTGAAAGGCAGCATTTTCAACAATTTCTACCAGTGGTACGTGCTCATGTCTAACTTGGTAACTATAGCCTGCTTTTAAATAGTAGAATTTTCACAGAATAAAACACTCAAACTCTGAAAAGACATTTACTTATTAACTCTTACAGACAGACAAACAATTCTACACCATAGCTGAATTAATATTGATCTAATTTTGCCTGCGGGAAACCTTTAAACAAAATAGCAATGCACTCAAGATTACAGGACACATCAAGAACATGGACTACAGTAAAAACTTTAGTTTTACTTTGGGGCTGCCTGTTTCCCAGTGCCACGCCCAGAGCTCCAAACTCAGCCCCTTACTACATCAATAGCAAAACATGTGCATCATCACTGACATTAATTTCAGTTGTAAGTGCTCAGTAACATCCAATGCAGATGACATCGGGGCTTGGTACCAGTTGGTACAACACAGAAAGAAGTGGTCACGAAAAGAAGCGGAAAGTAGGAGCACATGTTGTAGTAGTAAAGGGAAATGAGAGAGAACGTGGCCCAATGTTGATAACTGCAGTCCTTCCTGGCCCATCTGTTTGCCTGAGTTGGGCCTTCCAGACACAGCAACAGTCACTCGATCCTTGTAGAGATCTTTTTTTGCTCTGAACCATCACTAATCCCATTTCTGTCCTCTGCCCCAGCCTAAACCCTGGAAGGTGCGGGTCTAGAGGATCCAAGGCATCCAAGTTACTCAGATGTTTTCCCTCAAAGCTCTCTTATGGTATGATCAAAACCGGAAGAGCAGATATAAGCTAATAGCTTGATAATCTGTCACATACGAGGCAGGACTTGGTTTAAGAGGCTAACAGCTTCCTTCAGAGATGATGGCACACAGCCTTCCTCAAGTAGGTTGTTAGTCTCCACCACTAATTAACTGGCCTTCATGCGCAGACAGAGCTTTTCATTTTAATCCTTCAGCAGACTAAACATACATTAGTCCAAAGGATAAATCATCGAATGAAGGGCTCGGATCTCTCATACTACAGAAATAAATGAGAGTAGTCCAAATTCAGCAAGAGACAACTTTTGGTTTATTCTCTGAAGATACTGATCAACTGCCTGGTAAGAAACAACTTTGGTTGAGTCTACTAGAATTTATTTAAATTAAATAAGAGTTTTCTCCAAGAATGGGAGCGTTTCCACTAACAGGCAGGAAAGGCTATCTAACACTTGACAAAATGGGAAAGCAGGACTGGGAAACAGACACTATGGAGGATGAAAAGTACCTCTGGGCTTACATTTTGCACAGCACTGCTACAGTAGTTCAGAAAAAATAAAAATGACATTAATCTATCATCTCCAAATCAAGATTTCCAAACTCAATACTGTAGCTATCTTTCCACCCACTCATCTATACAACAACGCCTACCATTATGAAAGTGAAGAAAGCAGCTGAATAATAATTAATACAAGATTGTATTAAACATTTACTGAACTCTCATAAGACTTCTATTGGAAGGTTTTACTTGGATAGACTGTGAATAAAATCACTTTGAACTAGGCGAAAGAATATAATAAAATAGCATCGATTTAACTATTCAGAAGTTAACACCTGTACGTTTCAAACAAAAAACATGAAAATCAGAATGAGCCTACAAAATAAAAGAAAACAACATTATTCTAATGTATCAGGAAAAATACTTGATGCAGCTGGAGTGAAACTTTTTTTTTCTTATTCTTTATCCTCTTTCAATTTTCTGACCACCTATTCTAAGTCTCATGTAATTTCATAGTCTCACTAATGAAAATGACATGAGGACATTTCGATGGACAAATTTCTATTTGAAACTCATAATCATAGTCTGAACACAAACAAAATGTCTGTACACAGCAGTAGTCAGGAAACTGCAATTTTATGAAATATTTTTGCAGTCTTTAGGTACAACTCCTCTGTCCACAGGGCTGTGACAGTTGAACGGTGAAACATTTTGAGCAGTGAAGTCTTTAAACGTTTCTCTAGAACAGCAGCTGAGAGTACTGACCTTTTTCCAGCATTAGCAAATATTATGCATTTTCATCAATCCAAGAAGTATGTTTGATACACAATCACAGAAAGATAAGATGACAAAAGAGAAACGTCATTTCCGCTTTGTTAATGGTTAACTACAATTAGTATGTGTAGTCTACATATACATTCCCATTTTATGTACCTAAAAAATATATATATAGACCCAGCCACCTGAAACCTGAGAAATATTTGACAAAGCAAGTATTCACACAGTGTATGTTTAAATTCTGCTCTCCTTATGAAGATAACTACAAACACCAGACCAGCTGAAAGGACTCTTGACAGAACAGGGAAAGAAGCACCAATACAGATGCGCACCTTGAAGATCACAAGCAAGCTGTTTTTCTACTCTCAAATTATATCCCTCCTAGACTTTCCATTGCAGGTGTTTCTAAAGCAGGAACTCCACAGACTGCCAATTACCAATGCAACATCACTGTCAGTTGGGTGAACCTCAGAGCCTTTCGTGCAAACCGCAACCACTGGACTATTTCATCAAATGCTGTGCACCCTCCACAATGGCACAAAATACTGATACACCTGGAGGCATGCAGAGCAGACATCACATTTGATGGAGTAGTCCAGTGGTTGCTGTCTGCATGACGGGTGGAGTGTTCCCATAGAAGTGAAGGAGGTCCCCACTAGGCGGTTTGCATTCCTACACACCCCACTACCTACTCGACGACTATTTGCGTGGAAGAGCCCGGTTCCTTGGATAGACCAACCACTGACACAAACAACTTGAGAACCATCTGAAGGATCTGGTCCTGCTGGAAAAAAAAAAAATAACCACCTCCTCAAAGACAAATCTTACTGTGTTACTAACAGCTTGCCCCTGAAAAAATATGTATGTATTGATAGAGGAAGCAAAGAAGGGCAAAGAATGGACCTTGACAGCACAGGACTCTCCCACTCTCATAGGCAAACAGCAACCACCATAAAACAATAGTTTCTTGGGCAGATGAATAAGGTGTGCAATACTGAAGGCTGGCACACGAAAACTACTGAAAAATTTACATTCCACTGTAGACCTGAGTACTTTAAAAGCAGTTTAAACAGCTGCTTTACTACTTCAGGATGACTGTGAGAAGAGCGAAACTTCATTTTCTGGAAAAAGATGAAAAAGAATGACAGCCAGAGAGCAAGAGACAGACCAGACTCCTTCAGCTCAAGTAAATGGTCCAATGTGATTGGTGCTAAGGCCATCTCACAGGTGTTGGTAAGTTTTGTTCGTTTCCCACTTTACTGTTCCAAACCATCAGTCTGTAGTCACGTACTGCCTCCTTAATTGCAGTCATGATTAGTCCAGTAAGATGATAAAGTTTTTAGTAATCAATCAAGTAGTAAAGTCACGCTTATTTTATTAAGTTTCCATATTGAGTGTGAAAAAGCACTGACCTAAACACTGCACCTTTCTCACTTTTTTCCAATGTGTCCTGGTTTTGGCTGGGATAGAGTTAATTTTCTTCCTAGTAGCTGGTACAGTGCTGTGTTTTGGATTTAGGATGAGAATAATGTGACAACACACTGATGTTTTAGTTGTTGCTGAGCAGTGCTTACACTAGCCAAGGGCTTTCCAGCTTCCCATGCTCTACCTACTGAGAAGGCTGGAGGTGCACAAGAAGCCGGGAGGGGGCACAGCCAGGACAGCTGACCCAAACTGGCCCAAGGGATATTCCACACCCAGTTAGAAAACCAGAAAGTTTTTACATCAGTTTTAAACGTTCCAATTCAAGTCTGGGTGTACTGCTTCTCACATCCCAAACTTTCACATTATACAGCTATTGAAAACTTACTGAATACCAACCTAAATGAAAACAAGCCCACTTTGCCACTTCTTTTCCAAGAGAAGTTTTTTGTAAACAGGCTTTCAAACAAACACAGGCTACAGACTACCGATAACAACAATTCACAAAAAGCTGTTGAGTCATACTGCTCCATCCCCCTTGCTGAATCATATTATAGGGAGCTAAAATTCTTCTCCTGTAAGTGCTTTCCTTTTCAAGCAACTGCTATGGTGGCCACAGGTATGTTACAGTAAGTCAGATATGTGACCCAGGAGAGTATGTCTTCAAACATCATATCTATAATAATAATTTAAAAAAAAAAATCAAACTATCATACACTCACACTGAACTGAAGTTGAAATATTCACCTATCAATAAAACACTGCACAACACCGATACTGTTAGTTTACTCCAACTTACCATTGAAAGGCATTGTAATGGAAGTAGACCAAACCAAGGCCATATAAAAAGGCAGCATTCTGTAAAGGAAAGAAACAATGTTTAAAACCCAGATAAGACAAGCATATGCTGTAAGATTGAGTTTCCAGTATTTTATTCATCCTTTGACATTCTATTTCCATCATAAGATAAGCATATTTAAATTTCACCTTGAACAGGAAGAACCAAAAAGAAGGAATGAAAAGATAGGTAGACATTTAAAGGGAAAAAAAAAAAGTGATTCTCCATGAAATATTTTTGGAGGAATAGTAACAACAATAATATTCAAGTATTTTTACATCCGAGAAACTGATGTGCTTTGTTCTACTTGTACAACAGCAGGGAAGGAAATGACGGAGTAGAGGTCTTTGGCAATTTAATATAATAAAAAAATGTTTTATGACCGAATACCATTTCATAGTCATAATAATTTATACTCACATAAAAGTAAACAAAGCTACACACTCTAATTTCAGTGTCTAAAGTAGAACATTAATTATATGAATCTGAAAATATGCCTAAGGCAATTTCACTTTTCTGAATACCAAAAATACAGGCCATTGGCTTCAAACCTAAGACAATCATATTTCTTCATCGTTAATCAAATTTCTATTTTCTATTTCCCTACTTTGCAGATGGGAAGAAAAAAGAAAAAAAAGAACCATTCTTCTGGAAATCCATTTCCCCCCATTTTCTTTTCACAGAAAAGTACGATTTGCTTCTAAAGTGAGATTGCTAAGGAGGTTTAATGAATGTTTAACTATCCAATTCTACAAATAATTATTATATATCTCCTAAATTGGGAAAAATAAACAAATTGTTTTTTCTTTTTAGAAGTGATGCCACAGCATAGTTGTTTTCCATTTAGCAGAGCTATTCTATTATTTACAGGAGAGAACATGTACATGCTGCTTATGACCCATTTTTAGGCTTTTCTTACATATAATTCTGGTTTTGAGAGACCAGGAATACATCCCAAAGAACACAGAGCTCTGACACATGGACAAGAGGTGGAATTTCCATTGTCGAAGATTGTAGTTCAAGATAATCCCTCTTCCACTTGCACACACTTCTTCAACAGGTCAAATTTCTATGGAATTCCACAAAAGGAATCCTAGTTATGCTTTAAACCTAATCCAAATATAAAAGGTATAACCAAATTTCTCCTAGAAAATAACTGGTAACCAGAACACAATTCAAAGAGCAGCATTCATCAGAAACAGGGCCCAGTATTACCATTTCATTATACCTCATTTGCATCTTCTAAATGCAAATTAAAACCAGGGAAAATGCCAAAGATCCTTTCATGAATACAGTTGGAGCATAGCTTCAGCAATGGACAGCTTCCAAGAAAATACTGTGGTATGACCACATACTACAGCAATCAGAGCACTGGAAGATGTTAACAGGGGGCATGGAGGGGGAAGTACATAAACAATAAAAGATGACACTTTAATACTACCATAAAACCACATTCCTGTTTAACTGAACAAAACCACAACATGGACATCATAAAGATAAAAGATCTCCAATTCCGTACCCCATGTATCTCCTGCTTTCGAAGCGTGCTCTGGCAACAACAGACGAGGAAAGAAGGCAAGCTCAAAAACTGAGCATACATAATGCCTTGATTTAAAAGCCATTTTAAATTAAGAAGTAAGATAGAGAGATTTTCACGTGTGCAACATGGAAGCCTGCAAAATACCTAGCGCACACCTAGTGACCTTTATCGTGTTCGGGTCAGGCTCATTTGTAGAACAGAACTTAACAAAACTGTCCAGTGTTACCTCAGAGATCCACCAACTGCAATCAAGACTAGATCATCGTGAAGATTGAGAATAATAGTAGTAACAAAAATCCTTCATCACCATACTGCAAAATTCAAGTAAAAATAGGCCAGACAACTAAAACCTCTTCACTCTTCAAAGAACTTAATTTCCTCTTCTGAAACCTATTAGAATTCCAGTCCAAACGAGTTACAGATTCAGAAGATTAATCTAGCTGATATTTTGATCCTAAGGGTTAATAATAATCAACTTTCAAGGCACAACAGGACCAAGATGCAGATGATTTGTCCAAATGTAATTAATACATCAAATTCACATGAAGCTCTCAGGTTGTCCCTGCCCCAGTAAAATACAAATCAACCATTACTGCTCTGTCCTTTGTTCTGTGACTGGTTTTCCCATTTTTCTCTCATTCTCATTTGGCCTTACAAAGCATTTGAGATTGACCTTAAAAATCTGTTAAGCTACCAGTGTCTTCTCAATAAAAAACAGGGCAAGATTTAAGACTCCGTAATACCTCACTTCAAATGTAAAGGCGCAAATTCGGAAATGTCAGTATAGATCATATTTATCTGTTCTGAAATACTATAGCTCTAACCGTATGTAACATCGTTAGTACGGTTGATTGTTGATTGTTTATTAGATTTGTCTTAACAAAGATTAGAAAAATCTCTTTTAATCTGCATTTGAACCTGGATGGGACTTTCACAAGGACTGGAAAGTACTACAGTGTTTCAATGTACGGAGTATTTTCCCACAAATAATTCAAGGCAAGATGCACATAAAGTTCATTACTTTAGCAACTAACTTTTCTGCCTGTATTGCAGAATACCATCAAGTTCAATGTGTGGCCAAGTTCCTATTGGAACAGCTAGAACAGCTTAATGCATATCAGGACCAAGTGGGATCATTACAAGAAATTTTCATCTACAAAATGTCCTTTTTCTTAACATCATAAGATTCCATGACTCTGCTTACCAGGAACAGACCCCATCTTAAGAAATCTGTTTTCAGTTGCCTCTGTTACTTTTATTTGGACAAGTTTATTACAAAAAAAAAAAATCCATCCCATGTTTTCCAGTAAAAATGACTTTTTAAATTTAATCCCTGCTATTCAAAATCCTGCTATAAATAGCTTGTGAGGTAGAATACAAGCCCACTTTTTTCCCTCCAAACATTATTCAGTAAGAAGTAGAAAACAGAATTATCTTATTACAATCCTTTCCTTGAACTTCTTAACAACCCTCACAATTTCTGAAGATCTCATGCTAACAAAACTCATTCTTTGGCTACTAACTTCTAATGTAATTTTTATGTTATCAGATCTCTCTCTTCACTAAAATCTACAGTACACTGAAAAAAAAGCTGCAAATCAAAACAGACTGTACCTCAAATTTGAAGTTGAATGTCTGGGTTTTTTCATTATACAGCAATGCTATTAAAAAGCAAACAAATTAGAAATGCTATTTCCAAGCCGATGCTATTTACATTTTCCACAAACTATCAAAAATGTTAAAATGTTTCATACCAACCACTAGATGGCTCAAATACCTCTTTCCATTTTACATGCTTATGCAATTTAAGAAGATTGTCAAGTTTATATTGTGTGTTCTGCTACTTACATGCACTATTTAATGCTGAGCAACATTTCAATTATATTTTACAAAATGCGTAAGACTATTTTATCGATAGGTAACTCAGAAGGCAAAACTATTCTGTACGTACCTTTTCATGTAACTGAGATGAATAAGCATGTTGAAGCCTTTTTGGGCTTCTTTGTTTTAAGCAATCAAGAAAAAAAGTAAATTAACCAATGAGGAAAAGTCCATCCATTTCACAGACCTCCTGTATTAACCCAAATAACTGGTTTATCGTTTCTCTGAAACAGCAGATGGAAACAGATCCCCAACATTTCATGTGCTCTGTTCTCTAGCTATTTCAGGCCAAGTTCACAACAAAGCCTTTTTCTCCGTCTACAAGCACGCAGCCAGTGCTTCCAGCAGAAAGACATCAGACAGACCATCACAGTTACACTTTATAAACACAGGGTCAGAAAAAAAGCACCTGTCCTGTGTAGCAAGTGGCCATACTCACATTCAGACTTACAAACGGCCATCTAAGACTGACTCTAGAAATGTATAGCTACCACATCTGGGTCCAGATATTGTTCACCAGTAACACGCTTATCTGTCACAAGTAGTTGAGACCCTGTTATCGACTCCAACTTTGTATTTTATAAACACAAGAACATACAGAGAAGAAGTTACGCTTGCAAATGAAAATCTGTTTGGCAGGCACTTCTAGAAAGTCAGAGAGTAGAAAAAGACACAAAAGAGTCAAAGCAGCCTCAGGGCAGCATCCAGTCAGGACCTTCCAACTTAAAAATTAAAAGGAACAGTTTTTGCCATAGTTACATAGCATTGCTGATTCAGAAACATTCCCTAATACTGCCTCTCATTTTTGCTGATACAATCATTTGTAGAGTACTACAGCCAACTGGATGCCAGAACTGATCTGAGTTATTAATATCCAGATAAAAAAGGATTATTTTTAACTGGATCAGTTTCCCAGCCAAGTTCACTGAGTAGCCCCCCCATAAACAACTGTGTTAGCACAAGTGAAAGAGTGGAATGTAAGCAAAGTAAGTAAAAGCTCTTTAAGCCTACACTGCTACCAACAAAATGCATATCAAACCCACAATGACTTTTCAAACACAAAGAGTAAAATCGTAGATAAAAGATTTAAACAGGCAACCTACATTAAAAAAAAAAAAAAAGCAATACTTTATTACCTCCTAAGCCACATATAAATGTTTGACTTGAGAGAAATCAACTTCTATGGGTCAGTACAAGATGGATATAATCATGAAATAACATCACAGCCTGCCTGTCATCCTTCTCCATGCAGGTCCTTAACCAGTGAGACACACAGGCAAATACAACATTTCTTCTTTATGACTCTAAGGGGCAGGGCCAAACGTAGGTAAAATAATCCCTTTATTTCATTAAAAAGCTGGTAATGTTTAGACAGAAATCAGAGTGTATCCCACCATACTACAAAAAAAAAAAAAAAACCACAAAACAGGAGAAACAAAGTCCCCATGCAGTTGGTTGGTGGAAGTCTGAAGGAAAACTATGGAAAAAAGATGAAGTTCAGCACCCTTATGAGACCAGTGACTGTTTTTCATTTGCTTATTATCGCCAGGAATCAAAGTCTTTGATGACATATTAAAATTGCTTCCAGCAGCCTCTTCC